AGAGCCGCAGCCCTGCAGAGTTCAGCTCCAACCCTAATTAAAACTCACCTGCCTGTAGCTTTCTAGTAACCCTTCAGACCTTGATTATCTTGTTCAGGTGTGTTTGATTAGGGTTGAAGCAAAACCCTGCAGGGCTGCGGCTCTCCAGGACCGACGTTCGCCACCCCTGCCCTAAAAGTTTCTCATTAGTCTGCTATGAGTTTGTGGGGACCATGTATTCAATGTATAAACCGTATAAACCACCTAACAAGATCTTCATTCCACCCAACAACTCCAAACGATCAGACAAATCCATTTTCATGCACTTATGGTTTCGGATTCAGTGATATTCATCTCATTCACATTAGCCTTGCACCATACAGATTAGAGTAATCCAATTGCAGGCCATTTAGAGAGCATTTGCTATGACACAGCTAATGAATAACAATACAATACAAAAAAGAGTCCTACTAGCAAACTAAGCTAAGGTTTGTTTGAAAAACGAGATTACAGAGGATTACATTACAGCACACATGCTGCAAAAATGCACTGGAAAAGGTAATTTAAAAGGTTTTCAGTAGGGCTGTCGCGAATCGTCGATTCTATTCGACTATTCGATTTTTTAAAATCATTAAATTTTAATAATCAAAAGCATCTCCAATTAACTGATTTTATTTTTAAAAATTGTTTTGTTTTTTTTCAGAAATACTGCATGCACATTTACATTTTTCTCCTAAATAAATTCTGGTAAATAATATTTCTGGTAAATACTCCTTTAAAAAGTGTTTTTTGATTATAATTTTATTATTAGTAGACTAGAACACGCGGATATGTTGTCATTCTTACACTATAATACTGAACTTTCAGTGATTTGGACTATGAGATGGACACTCGCTTCTTGCACTTTATGTTGCACTTTACTTTTTTACTTTTGGATTTCATTTGGTTTAATGAAATATAGTTTAATAAAATATTCTTAAGTAAAATTGTTGATTTTTTTAGTGGGAAATCAATTGCTTCGATTAATCGATAAATTAGTCGATAGATTAATCGAAATAAAAATAGTCGTTAGTGGCAGCCCTAGTTTTCATAAATTCATAACTCATGCAGTTTGCACTACAGACATGAATGCTACCTTAAATCTTAGGGCGTTTTAAGAAGAGCTGTGCTTTTACTTTTATGAGTGATTGGACTTTCCCTTTTAGTCACTATTCTATAGACCAGGGATCCTCCAATCTGGCCCACGAGATCCAATTTCCTGCAGAGTTTAGCTCTAACCCTAATC